CTCAAAATATGTGGATGAGTTATCAAAATATATCACATAGAGGTCCTTTTCATAAAAACAAATTTACCTGATTTACACCCGCATACTCTGCGCAAGCGCAAGACGTGTCGTCAGCATCTCTCGATGTGCCCCTGCAAAATCTAAGCAGCAAGGGCATGATGAGTCGTCTGTATCCCTCGATGTGCCCCCACATCGCAGAGTGCCCAAAAAAAATCCCTAACATTTCCCTAGCTACTCGCTATTCACTCATCTGACGCAAACGTTTTTCCTGACTTTTATACTGAACGGACGCTTTTTCCTAGTGATCCCTAACTATCTAAATGGGGCACCCTGTCTGAGGCGAGGGCAGGTTTGGAAGTCTCGCAGCTCTCGTTCAGCTGTGAACCCTACACCAATAAGAAAACCCTAAAGGCACTTACATTTCAGCAAACTGCTCCAGTCCCTGGAACAAGTAGAAACAGCATGAGTATACAAGTACTGCGTTATTAAAGATATCACTCTCACGATTTGGACAGGAAAAGCGGATGGAACAATTTAAGGGTACACTTGAAAGTGATGAATGTCACAAATTCGATGTGTCGTAGTTAGAACCGGCAACATGTAGTCTTAATGCAGTACAATCCCATGACGTATCGGAAACCCGCAAAAACAATGACGTTCCGTAGTTATATCCAACTGAAAACTTGCTGTGCAGGGAAAAAAAGATTAGTGTCACAGCCGTTATATGAAATTGATCGTGACCGAAACTACTAGCAGGCTTGTCAACCCTACAGTTTTAATAATAGATTTTCAAAAATCTTCCAAGTTTTCAGTTCTGGTCTTCAAAGCTACAGTTTACAAATTACCGAAAAATCTTGCACAAGTTTTGCGGTTTTGGTTCTATGCAGAAGAGTTTCCCCAACGGCTTCTTCCATATAATATGTAAGAGTAAAAAAAATGTTTTAAAATTTGTCACCCTGAATCTTGAAAACTCTGCATTTCCGGACCCATGTTTATAGAAACTTTTTTTTAACAAAGAATCACCCTCTAAAATATTTTCGTCTATTTTTCGAACACTCTGAATAGACATCCTACAGGACTTTGGCAAAGAACTCCGTTTGTCTAGTTACTGTATACTGTAGACTGGGCTTAACGACCTAGCCGGCAGATATGGTGCAGACCAGGCTTAATGCATCATTTTTTATTGCTAGCTATGAAAATATATGGGTTGTATTGCCTTGTACGTGTTTGATTGAAATGTTGTGTTAAAAAGTGGCTTTTGTCAATAAATTTTACAGTACTTTTAAACAAGCCCTCATAAAGATACAACATGAGTACCTATAGTTCAGTTAATGGTAAATCTTCAAAATACCGATTGTATGGGGTATTTATTTCTTAGTAAAAAACGTAAACAACTTTTTATACGATATAAGATATAAACACAACACAAAAATACAATCGGTATTTACCTGCACGAATCTCGCTGTCTTGTAATTTTTTACATGATAGTGTGCTACTTATGTATTTACGTTTACTCACGAGGGTGCCGGGAGGTAACTCGCTGCAAAGTTTAAACAATTACAAACGACAAAAAATCGTTTTTTTGCCCCGGACATTTTGACTTTGGGCTTTTCGGAACATTGCGAATGAAAAAAGTTTTTTCTCTCTAAAAGCACTGCTATTTAATTGTTAATAACAGGCATTGGGACACTTTAAGATGTACTAATCCAAAAATACTCCTTTAAGTATTGTAGTGTAAGATGCGAATTTAACTTAGACACTTGGTAACCTCAAAGATGATAATTTTAACTGCGTTTTAAAGCATTTAAGATCAACATTCTTAAGACTTCTCAGAACTTTAATCGCTTCTAGCATGAAAACGTTTGACTTAGGAAAAAAAATGCTAAAGACTTTTGACCACAACACAAGAAGTCAAATTTGAATTATGAGCTCAAAGCTAACACAGAAGTAGATGAGTATGGATGACTTGCCTAGTTTGCCGTAAAGACATTCAGCTTCCTCAGAATGATCGGTAGAATATCCAACGTGAAAATACTCCATTCGCCTTTTATGAACAACCACAACACATTTTCACACACAATCACTCAAATCACCATCACGACACGACGAGACTGCGGGGAATCGCCGACAAAAGCTTTTCTGGACACTACATTAAGAACGCGTCGAACAGAAGCCGAGCGTAACACGGAGGTCTCGACGAAGCAACCTCCAACCACGCCAACCGATAACTAAAGTGCGCGTTAGTTCGCAGCGTACGGCGTCGGTACGGCTATGTTGCGCTGCGTCGTGATTGGTTGGAATTTAGCAACTCCTCCTTCCAGCTGCCAATCTTTGTTGAAGGCAGGGTTGCCAACCCTACAGTTTTAACTGTAGATTTAGTTTTTCAAAAATCTTCCAAGTTTTCAGTTCGAGCCTCCAAATCTGCAGTATTTCGTTTAAGATGCTCGCGCCATCTGTTTTGTTTACTTATCCGAGTGCTGCTCAAGCAAGGTGCCTCCCTCTTCAATTTTCAACCACCGGCAACTTTTTGCAACGTCAATGTCTACTTATTGCTGATCATGCATGCAAGAAGCAAACTTTTTTTTGAGCGATTGTGGTTCTGGTTGGCCTTGAGTGAATATGGAAAAATTTGAATGGAAATTCTGTCACATTTATATCACTCAAGGCCAAGCGAAACCACAATCGGTCAAAAACAATTTGCGTAAGCAATGCAAAACTGTCACTTTTTGACTTTGGTCCGCGATAGATACTCGTGAAAAATACTGTAAATGGAAGGCTGTAGATTGACAGCTTTTTAAATAATATTCTACAGTTACCTACAGTTTTTTTTAGGTTCATATACAGTTTTTCTCTCGGTTGGGTTTGGCAACGCTGCTTGGGGATCTAGCGGCGGATTCCACTATGAAGGTACTGTCGTTTTAAAACAACAAAAATTAATAGCTTCCAATAATTGATATATCATTAAACATTCGTTCTATTTTGCAGTTTTTAAATATCCACATCATACCAGATCTCCGCCAGGTTCTTGACAAAGCAGTGAACCTCATAGATCACTTTAGTATCTGAAATGAATCGCTTCCCGCCCTATTATGTTAATCTTTTGAAATAAGACAAGGCAAAGTCAAAATCTACCACAGAGACCAAGTCTAGAACATGCTGATGAGTTGCCAAAAAACACAAAACATCTGTCCATGGTTGGCTGTCTCTGGTTGGACAGACAGAACCAGCATGTTTAGATGTGTAATATTGCTGGGCAGAGTTCAAAATGGGATACAGGGGTTGTTGAAACAACAATCAATACTTCACATATATATTTGCCTTTAGCAGTTATCACAAAAGAATGAGTTTATCATTGAAGTAGAGTCAGATCATAAGATTTCTTTTTTAGATGCAATAAAGTTATTTTTTTAAAACAGTACAACCAACTCATTTAATCATCCAATATATCATCCAACCACTGCTCTAAATCATTATCAGGTACAGTCCTTTTGTTTCCATCAGAACTGCTTTTTCTTTTTTCTGCACAACTTGTTGGGCTATCTAGAACACATTTTTCAATGTCTTTCTGGATATCTGAAACATCATAGTCTATCTTGTTGGGTTCTTTATGCTTTGGTTTTTTCTCTTCACACCTTTTTAGCTTTTCTAAGGTCCTTCTCAAATGTTCAGCAGCCTCACTTCTCATGTACTTCTTTTCAGATTCCTGTAAATTCACTTATCATCATCATCAGACAGCATGTTACTGCTATTACACAACTTTAGCATCAGATGGAGTGTAAACAGCAACATTTCAGGAAATGTTTATTGGTCACGTGCTTATGAGCGCACCAGCGTTGCCAGACGTACGATAATTATCGTTTCTGTACGATAATTTCAAGTACTGTATGATGTATGATACTGTGTGTAGGATAATAGCTAAATGTACGATAATTTTGCGAATGAGCTTTTTTACTCACATATGTTGAATCAATCTAACAACTACGTTCAATTAACACCAGCAAGCAGCTGTCAGTGTTGCCGCTCGGTAGACAAACGCCGGTACCCCACTCTGTATAATGGGTTGCCTAGCATTACGCGGACTATCTCGGCAAACATCAACGGGAAAAATTGCCGTCACTCAGTTCTCACGTTCTATGTATTGACATGACGCGCTTATTGTTATTTACCCATGTGTATTAGATAAAATGAATGCGACGTCTCCCATTTTTATGACTTTTGAAACTTAAAAATCAAAAGATCGTTTGCAGTAATTTTCGATATTTATCCGGTTTGAATTCAATAATGATAATATGTCGGATTCCGAATCAAGTTGCTCTGGAAGAGAGAAGCACAACAAAAGATGCTATACTCTGGAATACAGAAAACAAAAAAAAAGGAGCGGAATCTTTGAAGAAAGCCAAACGTAGACAGCAAGCTTATAGGAAAGAGAGGGAAACAAAAGAGCCCCCCCCCCCCGAGACTGAATTTTTCCTTCTTTCCTTCATCATGAATCCTGAGAGAACCTAAGGCACGATATAGGATAGTGTACGATAATTTTGATGTGTTTGTACGATAATTCCCTGCGACGAATCTGACAACACTGGAGCGTACCACGTGGCCTACATGTTGCTTATGCAGTAAGTTCTAATCTGATGAAAAATTTCCCACATTTTATCAAAAAGTTAGGATTCATAGAATCGCAGCCTGTCTGATTCAGAGACTGTAAACAGTTTATATATGGCGTCGACGCTAGTTGCGTATTGCTAGCAAGCCCCAGATTTACGTTATTTTACGCTAACACAAAGGTGTCGCGGCATCAGGATTGACCTGAGTGCTGACACGAATTATTAGTTCACCTTCCTCTTGATATTCTAGTACAACGATGCCAACCTTACAATATGTCAGTAGATTTACGGATTTCAGAAAAGCTTCTAAATAGCTGGAATAAATATATCTACTTCAAAGCAAATATTTGGCTTTTCTAGTTTTTTTAGTGTATCAGGTTTTTAAAAAACATAAGCTGAATATAAAAATTTATTGTATAAAATCAACACAAATGTTAATGGTATAAAGATGTATATAACAGAGAATAACTGCAAGGAACCAAATATTAATATCAAGCTATAATAACAGTTTTATTATTGGCGATTGGCAGTACAAAGCGTTTTTAAACAAAATAACGTATTGAAACAATTTTAAATCACTAGTTTAATTATTTATGTATCACAACAGCTTTACATTTAGGGCACTTCCAATTTGTCACACAGAAAACACAAGTAACACGCTGCTAAAGTGGGATCACAACTTCTAATAAACTGTACGAATCGTCATATAACTGTCGAATAGAGATAACTGGAGATTGTGAAACTGACCTTAGGTGGTGGCTTTACAATATGCCACAAAAATGGAGTAAAATCTATTCATGACAGATAGGACGATGTTTTTCAATAAGTAGTCACAAAGTTCGTGCAAACTATAATGGAGGAACGTAAACATGTGTGGTAACGAAGTATTTTCTATGTGAAATGGTTTTAGTAGACATCATTTGTATGTTGTGGTGACAGTAGATGTGGAACAACAATTTCCAAAATGACGAAAAATGCTACGGGCTCATCTTGCATCAAAAGATGTTATACTCTCGAATACAGAAAACAAAAAAAAAGGAGCGGAATCTTTGAAGAAATTCAAACGTAGACAGCACGCTTATAGGAAAGAGAGGGAAACAAAAGAGCCCCCCCCCCGAGACTGAATTTTTCCTTCTTTCCTTGATCATGAATCCTGAGAGAACCTGAGGCACGATGTAGGATAGTGTACGATAATTTTGATGTGTTTGTAGGATAATTCCCTGCGAAGAATCTGGCAACACTGGAGCGTACCACGTGGCCTACATATTGCTTATGCAGTAAGTTCTAATCTGATGAAAAATGTCCCACATTTTATCAAAAAGTTAGGATTCATAGAATCGCAGCCTGTCTGTCAGCTGTCAGTCTAGGTGGATTCAGAGACCGTAAACAGTTTATATATGGCGTCGACGCTAGTTGCGTATTGCTAGCAAGCCCCAGATTTACGTTATTTTACGCTAACACAAAGGTGTCGCGGCATCACGATTGACCTGAGTGCTGACACGAATTATTAGTTCACCTTCCTCTTGATATTCTAGTACAACGATGCCAACCTTACAATATGTCAGTAGATTTACGGATTTACAGAAAACCTAAATAGCTGGAATAAATATATCTACTTCAAAGCAAATATTTGACTTTTCTAGTTCTTTTAGTGTATCAGGTTTGTAAAAAACATAAGCTGAATATAAAAATTTATTGTATAAAAACAACACAAATGTTAATAGTATAAAGATGTATATAACAGAGAATAACTGCAAGGAACAAAATATTAATATCAAGCTATAATAACAGATTTATTATTGGCGATTGGCAGTACAAAGCGTTTTTAAACAAAATAACGTATTGAAACAATTTTAAATCACTAGTTTAATCATTTATGTATCACAACAGCTTTACATTTAGGACACTTCCAATTTGTCACACAGAAAACACTACAAGTAACACGCTGCTAAAGTGGGATCATGAACTGTACGAATCGTCATATAACTGTCGAATAGAGATAACTGGAGATTGTGAAACTGACCTTAAGTGGTGGCTTTACAATATGCCACAAAAATGGAATAAAATCTATTCATGGCAGATACGATGATGTTTTTGAATAAGTAGTCACAAAGTTCGTGCAAACTATAATGGAGGATCGTAAACATATGTGGTAACGAAGTATTTTCTATGTGAAATGGTTTTAGTAGACATCATTTGTATGTTGTGGTGACAGTAACTGTGGAACAACAATTTCCAAACACATGAAAAATGCTACGGGCATATCTTGCTCAGAATCCGATAGAGTATGTTCACTCAAGAGAAATTGTTTTTCCACAGTGATAGAACATAGAGAGCTATCCTTGCGTTCCTAGTTGATGATTGGTTGAAACAAGAAACACAGTCGGTTCGTTTGAAATCGTTTGCTTTTCATCCGCTTAATAGTGAGCCGAAAACGGGGAGTGTCTTATTCCGAAGCTATGGGCTGGTGGGACGTCCAGGACCACCTACAAAATACGGAAAAATATAAACAACAGTACTCAAACAAAATCAGGGAGCAGGAAAAAAGTCCAAATTTTTCAGTGATTTTTGAGAGGCTGTATTTCAGAGAAAAATGGTCGCGCATCTAGACTTTTAAAAAACATTTTGAAGCTTTCAAGTTTTTTAGTCAAAAAAATTGAGGAGCGATTTACAGATATCGCAAGAAAAGTGTTTTGCAAAATGTTTGGATTCGTTTTAGTTCACGAGCATGAAACACATTTTTTCTGTTAGGCCGTCATATGGATCGGTTTTGCCGTTTAATCAGCTTCAATATTATGTTTTTAAAATCTCGATACGATCATTTGGCGCGGAGATATCTGACTTTGAATTAAAAATGATCCTTTTGTCAATATTGAAATGCTTATTTGTAGACATCACCACAGTGTTTCAACAGGTGCTACATGCAAAAGTAAAATCAGGAAGTTCAAGATAATTGCTAAAACACCATGAATGCAAATAGAGCCAATAAAACGTGCGCTAAAGAATATATGTGTATACGTACAGGTACAACTACAACGTGCTAGTGCAAGGAATTAAGTCAAAATTCGACAAAGCCACAAGCACATACAGTGTATTTACACCGTCCTTAATAAGTGAAGAAACCACCTTAAATCGATAACTTGATAACGCAACCCTGCTGTAAGCTATTCTACTATTATTTATCATCAAAGAAACTTGTGACAAATAAAGTATATTATTACGTATTTATAATTTATATATATATATATATATATTTATGTATATGATTCATAGTTATTGTCGAAAAATAACTAGCTAAGTGGAAGACTCGTCTTTGGGAAAATCGCATATTATGCAAAGTGTACTCTTTTAACTTACAACTCAAGCTTTCGACAATCTATGCTGTCATCATCAGGAGTGCGTTTATAAAATGTGGATGAGACCACATAGTAGGACGATCAAAAACTGAATGTATAAGGATATTTTTGGAAAATTAATGAAAAACATGGCTATACATCATGGACTAACCTCAAATTGCTAACGTGCATAATTTGTCGATTTCCCCAAAAACCCTTCCATTTAGCTATTTATGTATTTATTTATTAGATCAGATTGTTATACTTGATTGAGCTTGACGATTTCAAATTAAGTCGTGAATCCCAATTCAGATCCTATTTTGGTTGGAAATCTTCAGCTGTAACACATTAATCAATGGTATACTATCATTAAAGTGGTTTCTTGCACTTTGCTGGTGCTGTCTGTCTACGTTACAGCATCAAAATACCTGGTTTCAAAACACGTCGCTAAAACAAGACAAAGGCCATCAAAATAGAAGGCTGGTTTTATCTTTGCTCATTAAGCTGTTGAACGTACCCAAGTATGGGGAGTGTCTAATGCCGAAAGAATGACTGGGGGCATTCCTCAGATGCGTACGAACCTATTAAAAAATCGAATTATCCTCAAAAAATCTTGCGTCTGCGATTTTGAACAAAACTCATTTCTTGGGTAAATCGGCTACATGGATTTATATGATAGTTTGTTTTTTGCTGAGAATTATAGAACTCAAGCATTTTTATGACCCAATGTGTTTCAAATTATCTCAGGAAGTTTATCGTTTCTACAGTATTGTAGGACGCCGACTTGATTGTCATAGTTTTCTATTCTTCCGAGCCAGTGATCTGTTTTGAGGTTATGTTACGAATATCTATTTGCGTCAATTCATGCTTTTGAGTTATATCATCTGTTATATAGCCTGACATTTCCTTCAATTGAAGAAGAAAACGTAGCCTGACAATAGGAGAGCGCTGACGCAGTAAAAATCTAGAAATATCGCAGCCTTTCTGAAGAAGAGAAAATACTATGAAAATCAAGGAGGCCATAAACGCGTCCTACAATTGCAGGAACGACTGACGATTCGGCCCTTAGATAGTGACGTTTACCAAGATTCCTACCTTCTCCGGAGAATAAACTCCAGGTCCAGGAATGTTATCGTCCTTGGGTATGTTGATCCTTCCGCTGATCGTGTATGCCGGAGAATGGGTCTTGTAGTTCTCCGGGTTGACGTTGTTGTATTGTCCGGGCGCGGGGTTCTTCACACGCTCGTCTATCGGTTCCTTAGTGCGGCCGGAAATCGTGTAAGCCGGAGCGGATCGATCGCCCACAGCTGATGGGATGTTGTACACGTTGGGCGCTATTTAATAAAGGGTTTTGTCATTATATTTTCGTGTTCGGTGTGATCCTCACTCACGACACGATTTATACGACAATTCATATAGTCTTCCTAAATGATTCGCATACGAAGAATCTGCTGACGTCATAATGTGTAATAGAGAGAAGCATGCAATACGTACGATAGAAAGAGACAGAAGCACACTTCTCGATCTTCTCTCGTGTACACATTACCGCGACAGTGGTATTTAGATTTCTCTGTATAAATCGTGATGTGATTTCATTCGATGCAAGTATGGAGCGACTAGCGGAATGAGCTTATTTTGTTAAGAAAACAGGCATGGTAATAGTTTTTACCAATAACAATCCTTATCTATTAGGTATGTCAATCATACTAAGATCGTATCTAGCAGGTCACGTAAGAAGCGGATCCTATTGTTTGCTTGCTATGGTGCGCGGTACAAGACCATTTTGTTAAGTAGCAAGATTGTTTCTCTCGATATAATATCGAAAATTTTAAGAATCAATCTTCAAGTTTTTAATCCGTTGTGATGGCACATAGCTGCCTGACTATTACCATGGATCCAGCTTTCATCAGGCTACTGAATGTTCTCATTAACTTTTTATAATAACATTTAGCAACAAATTCACCTAAGGTGCTCCTGATGATGATGACAAAGTTCATCGAAAGCTTGAGAAAATAAAGTAAAAAGAGTACCCATTGCTTTAATTTTATCAAAATACTCAGTTAAAGGCTGAAGCTTTTCTCAACTGACTGTTTATTTAGACGACAGTGACCACGGCTCAAGTTATATATTTATATATTTACATATCTCATAAATATTCTTGTTAGTTTTAATTTAATTCACCAACCAAGAATTTTATTTTCTTATCGCTCCCTTTTTTGAAATCTAGCAAATTTGCATATGTGATTTCTAGGTTGAATAAGAAAAAGCGAATGCGCAACTGATTTTTAGCTTTGCACACATCTCAAGTAAGTGTACTTGAGGCTATAGTATACAACTGACAGCTTCCACCTCCGGTAACGCCATCTCTCAAGTAGATGTTACACCACATCATAGCCAAACACGTACAGCTACGGAAGGAGTACACATCAACTGTACAACAGCTAGTGTTAAGTTGGCATCTTTTAGAATATATAACGTATATTATAATGTCACAAAAACCTATATAACGTAAAAAACGACATAATGTCACATATTTTTTCAGTATTATACAGAATATACTCTGTAAATTATGAATAATCATTAAGGGGATGGTCTTACCAGAATCACGAAAATCCTGCAGATTCCGGGAGTGAGAATAAAATTTTCTATGATTGCTAGTTATAGAATGTTATAGTTCCATGCCTTTTTTCTTCTCAAAATCATAGATCATTCCGGAACCATTATTTGATAATGTTAGGTTTGTTATTTCAGAATAAGATCTTTCACAGAAGGACATGCGAAATGATATAGTCACGAGTCTAGAAAAATATGGTAACTCCTCCAAGAAAATGAAATGAAGGAAAGTAAGAAAAATATAGGTTGCGTTCTTCAGACAATACCGATACCCGAACGAGCTATTAAACTGATTTAATATGTATACATCGGAACGATTTACCATTGAATAAATAAATGTAACCCGAATCCCGCCGCTAGAGTAGCGAGTTCCTGATGAACGCAACTATTACAGAAGCTCGCTCACAGGGTGTGAATTCATACATAAAACGAATAAGAAAACAAAGCATGAGTGTATTTTGCTCAAGTTTATTCGTTAAGATAGTTTTAGCAAAAATACAGTGTGGTTATATGTGTATGTGTGCATTGTTAATGTCAGTTTTAGTAGGTACATTTTGTGCAAATGGCGATTGTTATACGTCCCTGAAGTTAGCTTCAGATTCGAAAATCATAAAATTACAGTCAACCAGTTCAGTCGTGAGCGCAAATTGCAAAAAAACTTAAGGTGCTAAGCCAGAAGTTAACATTTCAAACCAAAATTTGAACAACTTAAATTTTTTTATTTTTAATTTTTTTACCCCATAATACAATCGAAAGTGCATGCTTGATTAGGTCTACTGGTTTTCGAGATATTGCGTTACTATAATATTAAATGTTGAAATTTGAAAAAAATAGGGTGCAAAACCGGGAGTAAACGCTTCAAGTCATAATTTAGGAAACTTCTACCATTTTTACGCTTGATTTTTGTCCTCCAAAATATAGCTTTAAGTAGACTACAAGTTTTAAAATGGGAAGCGCATTCACTAATGAGATATATTTTTTATGTAGATACACACATGTCGCACTGACTGTGACGTTAGGGGCTTGTTTGTCGGCTCGTCTGCGGAAAGGTGAAACTACAATAAAGTTGAAAGGAATATTTTATTTTATAACTTGCAAAATGTTGGTTTGAAATGTGTACTCCCGGTTTAGCACTTCAAGTTTTTTGTTGAGTCTCAAAACCATGTGTTTTCTTTCACATCTACTAGATGTTGAAACAGACAAAATATGAACGAATTTTATAACCTCACTATCTTCACGTGAAATGCCCCATATTGCAATAAAGTGCAAGGTAAAAATAACTGGAAATTGGGACAGTCAAGATATGACACAGTCGAGTAATTGTCAGCGCTCGATGTCTCGGCAACAGCGCGATGGTCCAGTCGACATGGTTTTACGTTTGTAATAAATTAGAAGCAAGTGTTATAAATTAGTATAAGAGTAAAATTAGACTTTAATAGTAGAAACGATGTTTTCGTTACAGCGTATATGACAAGCTAGAATGAAATGCATGTCGGTTAGGGTTAGTTTTAAATATTTTGAATGCAAATGGAACCAACCGGGAGTATTAGCCGGTTTCTCAATTTGCACCTTGTTTCCGAAAGAAAACTGCGGGGAGTTTTCGTGCAAAACTTTATCAGCTACAGGCACATTGTACACATTTGGTGCTGGGAAGGAAAAGAAAAATTATATACAAATATGTAAAATAGGTACATGGGATCTGTAGTACCAAAAGCGATATCTATAACACACATATATACATTTTCAAACAAAAAAAGTAGATTCGCTTTTGGCTTTGGATTTGTGCAAATCGGTCTTATAGCGCTACTGAAGCGATCGTTTATCATGTTTTGTTTTCGCTTTAAAGTGATTTAACGTCAATCCTTTCAGTTAAACCACACCCAACGACATCAGTCGATTTGTGCTAAACTGTTTGGAAATTTATGAACTGTTAGCAAATCGCTGAAAGTCGCGTGAAGTTTCGATGTTCTATACTTGTACATGTAAACGTAGTCAACGATCATCACATTAGCGCTTCGACACCGCTATATTCTAATGAATGCGACACAGAGTAAAAACAAAACATCAGAAATGAACGACAAATAATGCTGAATGTAAAATGTGCACTGCCAAGAAAAGAATGATGACAAAGTTGATGTTGATGTTGTTTTTTCAACTAACCAGGTGTGCTAGACGGTTTCTGAGTATCTGTTTTAACTCCAAAACTATAGGCGGGTGAGTTATCTAATAGTACTTTGTCTGCTTTTGGCACATTGTATTCGTTGGGAGCTAAAAATTGAACAAAGCATATTAGCTAATATCTACTGCATTTGTTAAGGGCTTATGACAGCTCATAATAAAACTGAAAGAACAATGTTGCTGTAAACAAATACCTAAATGGCAGGGAGTAACACGCCACTGTCTTTGCATATAATAATAAAATACGTCTTTTATTGAAGGCGAAGTTTAGCTTGACGCTATTCTGGTACTTCGTCCTTGAAAAGTACAAAAAAACATAAAATAATAATTACAAACATGCAGTAAATCGTACGTCTCTTGAGTGAAAAAAACTTCGAGGTATTAGCTTGTTCTTCAGCAACGAGGGACTCGAAGTAAGCAAGAGCTTATGAGTCTAAGTTAATAGGTGTAAGTCATATAACTCTCAAATTATTTATCAGTCTGCAACATTAAATTTGAATATTTTGCAAACGTCAAAATATTGTATTTAAATTGGATTGTAAGGACAGTATGCAATTTTTGACATAATGATTCGCATACGATTCTTTTAGTTTGATAATCGAGATTCAAGTAACATTGGAAAGTAGTTTTTAGTAATTTTGTTTACATGAGATATGATCCTCAAAAAGGGTTCCCAAGTTTTTGACTGGTTCATTAACTTCGATAGTAGCTCCAGCTAAAGTTGTTTTTAACATGATTTCTGAAAGGTTTACGCGGAAAAATAATCACTTTCGATGACGCGACGCGACAAGTTACTCTCTTCCCTTTTGTCACTAATTTTACAAAAAATATTACTGGTAATATAACGATTTCTCGTTATTCGACTCGGCAGTTTTTTTAGTTTATTTAATATGCATTAAAAAGTATATTTATAAATTGAGGCAAAGCGTGGTCGGTAATGATTTGTTTTTTATTATAAACTGTCATTCCGCATGCTAAACAAAAAGAATAAATAAACAAATAATACAATGTACGAGGGATCTTTTGCGTATTCCTGGAACGTGTAACAAGACATTCTCGAAAAACAATAGCCACACTGTATGCTGTTATTTTTTGTCCTCGCACGGCGGTACCGTGGTAAGTGCCAACGAGACGGAGTGGTTTTACTAGAAAGCGATTGCCGATACCTCAGCAATCCGCATTGTTCGCGTCCCTTTCCACCTTTGCTAACATAGCTTTTTTTTTGCTTTAGGACAAAGCCATGCAGCCAGAAACTAGGTTGGTATTATATATATATATATATATATATATATATATATATATATAGGTGAAAAATTAAAGCTTCCGCCTTTTGTTGGGTACTTCGACAAAATTTAAGCAAAGAGGACTCTTTATACTTTTTTAATTCTCTCTAGCTTTCAATGGACTTTGCCATCATCATCAGGAGCTGCAATTACAATGATAACAGTAGCAACAAAAGTGAAAAATGAATTTAAATTGACTCAACTTACAGTAGTATGTGAGGATGTTGCTAATTGTTGTTTACGTATAGGATGAGGGAAACGTCCAGTAACATGGTGAGAGCTGGATACATGGTACAATGGTCAAAATTATATAAAATATGACAGGAACAAGTTAAAAACAGATTAAAAATTATTTAAAAACATTAGAGCATTACATCGTGAAGCCACTTGATGATTGCACAAAATGGTGGTCATGGAATAATGAGTGAGATGAACCCTTTGACAGAAGGCCGAAGGTTGTCAATATCTGTGTTGAAAGATGGAACGAATTGTGGGCGTGTGCCAAAACGTTGCCAAATCACTTCAGATGATGTGATTTTCAGAATGTTATGTAAGAAATTGTTAAACCGACCGGAATAATGAGTGAGATGAACCCTTTGATACTGTTATTCCGACACTACCCTATAACCTCTTCTTCATAAAAAATACGTATATGACATTATTTTATGCCTCCCCTTTTTAAGTCTGGATAGTATTGTCAGAGAATTCAACAGCTATGACCCCTACATCCAATTTACCATTGAAAAAGAAGATGAGTACCTGTCTGTCCCCTTTCTAGACACAAGACTCATCCGCACCAACAACAACAGTTTATTGGTAGACTGGTACCAGAAACCTATGGCCTCAGGTCGGTTTCTCAATTTTAGGTCATACCATAAGCTAGGGATTAAAATCAATTTGGTAAAACAGATGAAAACAAGGGTAATCAGCATCTCAGATAATACTTTCCACACCTCAAATTTACGTAAACTATCAAAACTGTTCATCAATAATGGTTATCCGAAGTGTCTGATTAACAAGATCTTATTTAGTTCACCTTCCAATATTTTGCCGAACTCTGGTGATGCAGGTAATAGTCGCACAACCCCTAATAACGGAACTGATGTAATTCCCAATAATAGCATCAATCCAAACAGTACAAGCACCAACCCGGACTCCAGACCTGGTTTTGCTGTCCTGCCCTATATCAAGGAACTGACCCCTAAGCTGATCAGATTGTGCAGTCCTTTGAACTTTCGAATTGCTTGCAAATCCGTTCTCACTATAAACTGCATTTTTTCAAAAATGAAAGACAAAGTCCCGCTGCTTGGCTTAACCAACACAGTCTACTACATCAATTGCAACAACTGCAACCAAATATACATAGGTCAGACCTCCAGATCTCTTAAAGGAAGGATTACATCACACAAAAGTGATGCTAGGCTTCATCCTGAAAGATGCGCTCTAGCATCTCATGTTAACACAACAGGGCATTCTATGAATTACTCAAGTATCAAAGTTCTTGATAAAGAAAAACACCTTTCCAAACGTTTATTCCTGGAAATGTCCCACATTTTCATGAATAACAACTGTATCAACAAAAAGACAGATGTTAAACAACTGAGTGTCATTTACTCATATTTGCTAAACTGCGAAAAATTGGAGAACTTACATATCTCCCCAAATTTCGACTCTTCACAACCATAAATAGAATCTGTGTTTTGGCCGATTCCACCAATAAATTTCATTCCACTCAAAATCTAATAATTCTCTTCTCACGATTTATTAATAATTGTTAATTTAAATTCCCATTAATTAAAATATAGTTTATTCAACTGCCTCTGGTCGGTTTAACAATTTCTTACATAACATTCTGAAAATCACATCATCTGAAGTGATTTGGCAACGTTTTGGCACACGCCCACAATTCGTTCCATCTTTCAACACAGACATTGACAACCTTCGGCCTTCTGTCAAAGGGTTCATCTCGCTCATTATTCCATGACCACCATTTTGTGCAATCATCAAGCGGCTTCACGATGTAATGCTCTAACGTTTTTAAATAATTTTTTATCTGTTTTTAACTTGTTCTTGTCATATTTTATATAATTTTGACCATTGTACCATGTATCCAGCTCTCACCATGTTACTGGACGTTTCCCTCATCCTATACGTAAGCAACAATTAGCAACATCCTCACATACTACTGTAAGTTGAGTCAATTTAAATTCATTTTACACTTTTGTTGCTACTGTTATCATTGTAATTGCAGCTCCTGATGATGATGGCAAAGTCCATTGAAAGCTAGAGAGAATTAAAAAAGTATAAAGAGTCCTCTTTGCTTAAATTTTGTCGAAGTACCCAACAAAAGGCGGAAGCTTTAATTTTTCACCTAACTGGTCTAGACGACAATGACCACGTCTCAAGTTATATATATATATCTAATTATGGACAAACACACGACGTCACAACATCCATGGCGAATGCGAGATTCGAACTCGCGGCCAGCCGAGGTCCCTAAACATAGCTTTTGATTTGATATCGATAGAAGACTTGATCCAAACTAACAGTTGCCTAATCCGGGAATAAGAAAAAGAAACCTCGTATACTAACCGGGTGTGCCTGAAGGCCGGTGCGTTGGTGTTCTGCGTCCGAAGGAGTACCTGTGGCTACCAGAGCGGGTAAATGGTTTGTAAGCGTTAGGAGCTGTGTGTATTAATCAATTGTTAATTAATAATTATCGCTGCTACAAGAAAAATCATAATATATACATTATTGAATTAGTTCTCTGCTTAGCGAACCGCTATTAAGTCCATGTACATGTTGCGAAACAAAACGTTTGCCACCATATCACAAAAATGGCAACGTCGCGATGACACAAGGACCGGATCCTCAATCTCCGATTATCTCTTATTTGGCAGATAACAGTATGCACCGTATATAAGTTAAATGCCAGACAGAGATATCTAGAGATTGTGGAATCAGCCTTAAAAGACACAAAAATAAATGATTTAGCTGGAAGTGCAACGTTGCCATTTATTTCAATTCAGTACCGGATTGCAAACACAAAATATCTGGCGTCTGTATTTGTGAGTAGATTAGCATAAAGAGACTGGATATAGTTTTACTACTGTTCGCAAACTGTGTTCAAGAGTTTTTTGATAGTAACTGTTGGTTTTTATGATAGTTTCTTCATGTACAACGGGAGAAAAGTGATGTATCTTGTTGAATAAGGAATGGAAGAGTCAAAATCTGTCCAAATGTAGTGCTTAGGTATTGAAATGGAAATGCAGACGCTAGATACTTTCATTTTGCAATACTTCGTCGTAGATGATTTTTCTATTGAAGGCATTAGCTTTTACATAAATGTTAACACTTCTATATCTGCTTACTGACTTTGAAAGAATGAACCTCAAAAATAAACTGTTTAATTATCTTAAAGTATATGGACTAATTTAATTAGATAGTAGTCTGCAAAATGCCTTTAACAGAAGATACTTCTACGCTATACATATAGTATTCAGTTTTTTAGCTCAATTAAAAAGCAATGTAAAAATAAATTAATCATTATTATTCTCAAACTACCTTTCCGCAAAGTTGTAATAGTTTTTCGGCAATCAAGTGGCCATGCAAAAATACAAATTAGATTGGAAAAGCATAGCGTTTCATTACTTCTGTATAAAGAAAAAATATATAAAAAATAAAAGTTCCGTGCATTAACATAACAATATAATACATAATCTATTTATAATAAAACTTCACGATATTAAAATTGAAAAACATTGCAATGTACTTAATGTCTACTAATATTTATTTTGTTGTGTATATCTATTCTGCCATAATTAAGTAAAAGACAATAAAGTTTTTTGCATTTACTGCCATTCTTAAATTTTGACACTAATGCATTTATTTTATGATTAAAATTACAAAATATATCATTGATCACGTTATTTAAAAAAATAATATATAATTAATTACATTTCGTAAGCATGAAAGCAGTCACTCAATTTATCAAAGTAAAAAAACAGTAGTTTTCAAACTGCTTTTATTCCCTGTATGATAGATACCCTTCAAAACCTACTATGATGTTTACTTATTTACTTTTTTTATATAATATTTAATATAATAATTCTCTCATTAGCATATGAGTATTTATCGTAATAAATAATATTATTTTTGCTCCGAAAGAATGGTTTTGAAAAATATTCTTCGTTTAACTTAACATATATAAGAAAGCATTGTTTTTATTTTTTTATATAATTATTTTTGTAGAATCAAATTATCAAAAAATGTAATTATATAATTATTAAATTGAATTATTAGATGTTGAAAATATTACATTTGTGTTATTTGTGGGAATATTATATTAAAATAAATAAATTATATTAAAGCATTTTTCCTTTGAAAAAAATAATATTAATAGATTATGTGTGAAACCTACAAAAAAGGCAGCAAATTTGTTTATGCAGATTGTAAAAGCAGTAAATCACATGTTACTGCTTTTTCATTTATTTTAGGCCTCTACACCAATTATCATCCGAAATCACATTTAAATGACTATGAAGTCATGTTATTTTGCAATATTCATTCACTTTCCTTTTGTTGTAAAAACATTTATTTTGAACTCAATTTTGTAAGTCCTATATGTTCACACTTTAACTAAGTACGGCAGTATTGATTTCAGTATTTTATTTTTTAAACTTTATCGATATCTTGCATGACATCAAATTGTATGCACATTTTTTATATGTCAAGCATGGCGCCTTCATATCAACATTAGTGCCTTATAACCAAAGCCTCAATATCTACCACTGAAAAAAAATACATACCCGGTGTGTCAACCGGTTTTCCGACATTCGTCTTTAAACCGAAAGTGTATTTTGGCGAGTTTTCATGGATGACTTTTTCAGCCTTGTCGGGGTTGTAGTCGCCAGGTGCTGGAAGCGGTTCTGACTTTGGTTCCTTAGGGCGACCGTGAAGACTTAGTGCTGGGGCGGTATCTTTCCCTATGGAGGTAAGTAAATCGTCAAAACAGGCCACGTACGAGGTCTGTAAATTGAGTTGTGAGACTGGCAACGTAGCGTTCGATCTGGCAACACTGGAGGCGCTGTGCTTGGAGGGAATTTGTGATCAATGTTGCCAAAACTCAGTTTATTTACAGAGGGCACGCTTTTGTGAATGAAAGTTATATTTTCGTCAAATTGTTCATGATTTTGATTTGTATCATCTGCTGTATTAGCCTAAAATTTCTTACAATTCAAAAAGAAAACATAGTAGAGCGCTGATACTGACACGGAACAGCAGATATCTAGGAATACCTCGGCCTTTCTGAAGGAGAGAAAAGACTATGAAAATCATAAGGGCGTCCTTCAGTTGTAGGAACGACTGACAATACGGCCCTTAGCAATCTTTGCTGGAGACAATAACGAGTTTTCGAAGAAAAGCTTAAGAGGTTTGGACATCGCTTTTTTGATGTAATATTGTGACAAATAGGCGCCATCTGTTGGGCGAGTCTCCTACTCGATGGCCGATCTCTGCTTTTACACGAACCACGACCGCACAAGCCGCCTGGCGGCGTCTGTGAGAACCGCGACAGTGGATCGCCTTCTAGATCGACGCGAAGTGACCTTCAATATTCTAGATGTCGCTTTGTGGTTCACCCGGAATTTCTCGAAGCAGCAATTCGGACTATATATAAAACGGCCGCCGGTAGACGGAAGCGGAGAGTACAGATTACACCAGTGCAGAGCGGAGTGGAGTATAGTGCAGTCAATGGCGACATAAGAATCAGTCAGACATAAATAGTGGTGTATATAAATGTTCTATCAAGTTAAATAATCCACACTCAAAATAACCCAGAAAAACGCTACAATATTAAAAAACTAGCCTATGTTCAATCCTCAACGTAAATGCTTTTTCGTCAAGACCTTGACGAACTGATATGATTGTTCATAATTTTTCGATTATTCCAACGTCGTTCTTTTAACTGTTTCTATCGTTTCAAAGCACATTTCTTTTCTATCTCACCATGCATCTCACCTTTTGCGCTGAGGCCAGTGACGTTGTACTGTCCAGGTCCAGGTCCGATGCTCTCTTGTTTCCCATTGTGCCTCGCCCCGAAACTGAAAGCTGGCGCTCGCCCACTCTTCGACTCGGATGTTCTTGTTCCTACGCCATTATTAAAAGATTTGTGTTAGATCGACAGATATGCCATTTTGGTATAGTTGAGCATGTAAATCTCTTTTGTCTGTGGAAGAGTGAATTGGCTTCGCGGCAAACTAGTTATACCGGTTCTTTCGTAAATGACACTTGTAGGTTATTTTTAAAGAAATAAGAAATTAATTACACAACTTGCTTATGTTCAGATACAGGAAACAATTTGATTGAGAGTTAGAGTTACAAGAAATGTTGACCAGTAAAAAAAATTACTGCGCTCAAGAATGATGAAAAATTTGTTTTTGTTTTCGCTCACAATCCGTCCACCAATGAACCAATTTCAAAACCTGCTAAGTTTTTTCATTCTGTATCTTAAAATGTCATCAAAACCGAGCAGTACTTCAAGTGTTATGGACTAAGCATTACCGAGTGGACGACATAGTCATTTGAAGTAAAAATGAGAAAATAAAGAATGAACGTATGTAAAAATAATCAAAAAATGATTGAAAAAGCTTTGAGCTCCTGTGGAGCAGAGAAAGGTTTTGCTTTTTTGACAGCAACATTCTAAATATCACTTTGACAAAAAGCTACACAATTGTCACACGCAATCATGTCTATACAGGGTGGCACCTAAAAGATCGTACCCCATTTGTGACTCTCCTGGTAAATCCCACGTTTTTTTCTAATTCTTAGATTTTAGTAACTTTTGTATAACAAAGCTTATACTTATCTTCAATCGCTGTGAAGCTATTTGAGTTTATAATAAAATTCGACTAAATTAACTTATACTGATAATAATGGGATGCACGGCAAGTAATAATAAACATGGATTCCAACAGTCAGCATCAGTCAATGACTTATTCAATTCAAGAAAGGGTAGAAATAACAAAACTGTATTACCAAAATGGGAGCATTGCTACTGCCCTGTTGTCTAACGCGTTACATCCAGTCAAAAATATACGAACACCCAGTTTAAATGGTTTTATTTTAATAAAATTTTGTATAAGTACTTAATGAAGCATAATAAGTAAATGATAAAACTTTAAAAATGATTGCACTGCTTTAAAGCCCTTTGACCTTTAATAATGTGTAGATGCACCCTGATGTGCTACGCATTCTCCAACGCGCCTAGGCATGCTTCTGATCAGGTGGTCAATGTCCTTCTGTGGTATCTCATTCCAGGCAACCACCAACTCCTCTCGAAGTGCTTCTAGAGTCTGAGGAGCACGTTGCAAATTGAGCAATCTCCTACCCATCATATCCCATACGTGCTCAATTGGGGATAAGTCGGGAGATCTTGGTGGCCATGGTAACCATTGTGACATCATTATGTTGAAAGAAGTCTATTGTGACTCTTGCAACATGTGGTCGGGCATTATCTTGTTGGAAAGTTGGTTATGCCAGGGTGTCAAGATAGGGTAAAAGATGGGGTTCTAGAACTTCGTGGATATAACGCTGCGCGTTCATGTTACGTCTGATGAAGATTAAAGGTGACCTGGAACCATAAGCTATAGCACCCCAAACCATAACTCCAACAGTGTGATGAACATGTCTTTCAACAAAAAACTGTGGATTCCTTCTTTCACCACGTCGCCTTCTAACCCTGGCACGACCATCGTGCAAGCCTAAACAAAATCGAGACTCGTCACTAAAGACAATACTGTTCCATTCCTGATCCCAGAGTGACCGTTGTCTGCACCACTCAAGGCGATTACGTCGGTGTTCTCGAGTTAAAGGGAGGACCCAGTGTGGCCGGTATGAAAACAAGCCAAAACTTCTCATTAGTCGGTAAACACTTCGCATGCCAATAGGTCTTCCGTGTTCTGCAAACCATTCATTTGCAATGGACGTGGTAGTGGAGAAACGGTCCCTTAAGGCCAATAATCTTAGGCGGCGATCTTCACGGTCTGTTGTTCTACGGCGGCGTCCAGTGCGCCTTGCTCTTTACGTACGGCCTTCTCGAAGCCATGCCTGACAACACCTAACCACAGTGTCTACACTTCTTTGCACTCTAACTGCAATTGCCCGAAAAGAAAGTCCAGCTTCCCGAAGTCCCACTATACGGCCCCTATCAAACTCACTAAGTTGACGAAATCGTACAGGTCGCCGTACTCTAGGCATCGTAACCGATCGTAAAGGATGTCAAGTTACTAAAAACTTGAAAATCTAAAAATTAAAAAAAGATAGTTTCCATTTAAAATTGTAAACTGTAACGCGATATCTTATTTTTGGATCACCCTGTATTGTACGGCTATAGATGAAAACACGTCCTCCTAGAAATCAAAATTGACTTGTCTGAGCGTTTTTCCCAGAATGTACCAAATAGGGAAGCGACCTTTTCGTTGGGCCACCCTGTATAGTATGCTACCTCGAGTATCATAGAGAGTGTAAATGGCAACACTGGCTCGGTGCTGTCCGTCCTATGTTCTGGCCATTTTTATAGGGATTCGACGTTAGGAGGCCAAAACCTAGCCATTGTTGTCATTTAAACTCTCAGCGATGATCTGCTTGTATAGTATTAATGGTAAATTGCTGTACGGGAGAGAGTGTAAGAACCTATGTAAGACGGTAAGGTGACGCAGGCAGGTCCAGGTCCGCTAAATTCAGCTGCAATTGGACCACGCCTTTTAGTTGGAGTCCAAGGTCTCTGTGTCATTCCACCCATGATCTGGAAAGGAAAAACAAAATAGTAAATTTTGTTCAACTTGCACTGAATTTTATATTGGCGATTACAAAATAAATATATTCCAATGTTTTCAAAAAGAGCTTCCTATACAACACTTACACCTAAATACTGTAAGATCAGAGGTCAAATTGCGGGTGAATCAGATTCTGTTGGGATTCGAGCCCATAACTGTTATCATTCTACCATTTGCAAGGAAGTACCCAAAAATAGACCGGAATAGTATTGCAGTGGGCGGAGCTTGTGTAGTCCACATTTTTGCCCCTAGAGGCGTACAGCGCAACTCATTACCACCTGAGTTGTCGATCTGGATTGTTTCGTTCCTATGTATATTTTTGCTATAGCTGTTTCGTGCTTGTTTCGTTTTTTACGACGGCACGATTCAGTGAGCAACGTGCAGCTGTGAAAGTTTGCTTTGTAATGGGTAAGAATGCTGCTGAAACTGTAGAGCAGCTGAAGAACTATATTTTGGAAGCGATTGAAAATATTCCTTCCAAAACCTACCAAAAAAAAACTATGAAAAATGTAATCAAGATGGCTCAGATTTACGCGGCTTACATACAAACCAGTCAGTTACATATTGCCACCCTGTATAAGACTATTACTATTGTATGTATGTATCGAAGAAAGAGACTAAAGCAAAACGGTGATCATCGCGTGATTATTGCGTCATCAGTACACTGATATATTTCACGAGAGAGAGGGAGCATAACTGTTATTGGGCAGAATAGGTCGAGCCCTTACACTAAACCAATGACAAACCAGAGGGTGGAGTGGGAGACGATACGACCGTGCATGTCGGCTGTCCCGGTGGCTGGCCGTACAGTACAGAGTTGGCATCAGATTATTACTGTGTGCTTATTAGATTTGTCAGTTTAATTTCGTAGAACTCAAAATGTCTGATACGGATGCAGCGACCAAGCTACGGCTGATCAAGGCCATCGCCAGACCTCAGCTCGCTTACGCCTCCGCGGTCTGGGGGTACGCTGCCCCCAGCTACCGCAAGCGACTTGCTGCTCTAGAGATGAAGCTACTCCGGATCGCCACCAGTGCACCATCCTACGTAAGAAACTCAACCTTGCGTAGAGACCTGCATTGGGACACCATCCACGAGTACATGAGGAAAAAAGCGGAGAAGACCTTCGAGAAAGCTCAGGACCACCCGAACGAGCAGCTACGATTCCTCATGGACTACGATCCGGACGAGAGGCCTCGCAACCGCAGAACCAGGTACCCTAGACCAAGGTCCCAGTTGGCACCCGCTAACTGGAACCTTGACTAGGAGACTAGGAGAACCCGCGGTTGCTCCCCCCCCCCCCCCCACGGCGTGGATGCAGAGGACCAGGAACCACCGGGACCAGGACCCACCGGGACCAGGACCAACAAGGACCAGGACCCGCCACGACCAGGACCCACCAGGACCAGGACCCTTCAGGACCAGGACCAGGAACAACATATTGGTAAGAGGACTTGAAACTCTTGATTTTTCGAAAACAAGAGTTTCAAGAGAACCTAGCAGACCCTCTATCGATGATCGCTTAACGACATCGATAGAATGTGCGAGGTAAAGGGAACCAACCCGGCGTTCCCAGAGACTGAAACACATGAGGAGACGTTGTAGCAGACCGCAGGTCACGCACAACCCATGGCCTACCGAGACGCTGATGAGTCGGGCCACGCGGAGGTTTAGGGTTTAGTGGGTATTAGGTGGTCTCCTTAAGACAACCTGGAGTCCCACACACGCCGTAGCTCGGGCTATGGTATGGTGCGTAAACGCATTCCCCCCTCACTAAAAAAAAAAAAAAAAAAAGTACAGAGTTGGCATCAGATTATTACTGTGTGCTTATTAGATTTGTCAGTTTAATTTCGTAGAACTCAAAATGTCTGATACGGATGCAGCTGATGAAGTTGTTCATATTAGCTGCACACCGCCTAAAAAAGAGCTAATATATGTATTTCCGGTTTTAGAGGTAAAAATTTTTGTATAATATTTAGTATATATTATTATGTATTCAAATCCTTTTTCTTTCAACTGCACCTAACTACTCATTTTTTAGTCTAATATTAAAATTAACTGTTTGCACACTGACGTCCCTGTTCAAGCGGTGGTTAGGTATACGTGTATGCATATGCAATTATCGTTTTAATGTGTCAAGACATTTTTAAAAGCCTGCTTTATAAAAGCGCCTTACGACACATCTCGAGTATGATGATAAAACACTTCTACTAAACACAACAATAGACAGTTGTTTTCTGTTTGATCATGACAGTTAAATTAAAAAAATACATTAATTTCAAGCTTTGCGTTTGGACCCTATACATGCCTGCAATACCGCAAATCATTTATTCTTAGTACGGCCCTGTAACGTGTTCGGCGTTCTGGAGCGCGATCACGTGGAGTATACGTGAATATGTTTAGGTTTGGTCTCTTTCTTGGATGGATACATAATAGGCGAACAGTGCTTTATGGATGCTACATGCGTAGTTTGAATAAAAAAAACTATAAAAACATGGGAGAATATTGAGAAAAATAATTAAAATAACTATATAACGAGCCAGTAGCGTAAATGCAGCTGTTAAGATGGCTGGGTTATGTATGCCTGATATGTAAAGTTCAAAACTAGTTCTAGAAGGAGGTTTAGATTGCAAGAGAACGAAAATAAGACCAAGATATTTCTGAATGGATGCTTCAAAGAAGACGTGGATAGTTTGAAGATACAGCGGTGGAAAAAACAAGCACTGGATAGAAAATTTTGGAAAAATATCATAGAAGCCATGGTCCGACTCGGCTTGTAGAGCTGTTGTATATGTCTTGAAAATATGTTTGCCTAGGGGCAGCAAAACCTCGGAAGATTAAATAGCAGACAAGTACGTAGATTACAGAAAATTTGGATTCGTCTCCCAAAGCATCCACTTTTTCCGTTCTTCCAAATAGAATTTGAATCGGTGAATCTTAATTTTGGATCTCGCCAAAAACAGTGATCCAGAAGTATTAGTATTATGTTCTACAGTGGATAATGTTAAGTTAAATCAAGATGAAAATAGTTTGAATAGTTCATTAAACATTAGCATTAATCTAAAGTATGCATTAGCCTTCAGTATAAGTGTGCTTCCTACACATTTAAAATGCAATAATTACTCTAATCAGTAATCGAGTATCTCAGACGTCGCTCGTGTATGTCTTTGATCACTCTGATTTAATGCTTGGATTGCAGCGAAAACTCAATTACGTTTATAAATTGCATTCAATCTATAGACAATGCTCGAGACAAATTGTTTCTAACGATCTCTGGCGCGGCCTCACAAACCAGTTATTTCGCAGTGATCACTATAAATAGCGCATCATTTTTTCAACCTGAAATGTAAATCGCTCCTGCCTCGGAATCAGAATACGTATAAGAAAAAATATTATTAAATTATTCATTAGTTATTGAAAATCTATACTGGCAAAAAGATTTTAGTACAATTTTTCAGATATGGGATCAAGAAGCGTAGTTTTTTTTCACAACCATTAGTGTACTATTTGGGCTTCTAGTGAAAAGAAACAATCCTCAGATTGCAGCAATGAGCGTGACCGTTCACGGTAGCCTCATTTCTTTGAAGCTGTGGTGGTATCACAAATGTTGATAAATACTTATATACCACACTATATAAAATTATGAAATCAAATAACATCAGTGAATTACACTATTTAGAAATAACCCCGCGGCGTACGGCATATGCGACCGATAGGCGATTCGTCTACCGAAAAGTTTTAAGGGCAAATGTACCGGTAAATCTATAACTAAGTGACATATAAATCCGAACACCCAGTTTAAATGGTTTTATTTTAATAAAAGTTGGTGAATGTATTTATCTTACTGTAAATAACAAGTGAAAAAATTTTCAGCCTTATCAGTTGGACATTCCGGTTTTTATACTGCTTTTTTTTAATTCACTAACGCCCTAAAAATGAATATTTCAGCAGCAGTAAAGAATCAACGTTGGCGGATTTTGGTTCTTGACATCCTTTACGATCGGTTACGATGCCTAGAGTATGGAGACCTGTACGATTTCGTCAACTTAGTGAGTTTGATAGGGGTCGTATAGTGGGACTTCGGGAAGCTGGACTTTCTTTTCGGGCAATTACAGTTAGAGTGCAAAGAAGTGTAGACACTGTGGTTAGGTGTTGTCAGGCATGGCTTCGAGGAGGTCGTAAGCAAAGAGCAAGGGGCACTGGACGCCGCCGTAGAACAACAGACCGTGAAGATCGCCGCCTAAGATTATTGGCCTTAAGGGACCGTTTCTCCACTACCAGGTCCATTGCAAATGAATGGTTTGCAGAACACGGAAGACCTATTGGCATGCGAAGTGTTTACCGACGAATGAGAATTTTTGACTTGTTTTCATACCGGCCATACTGGGTCCTCCCTTTAACTCGAGAACACCGACGTAATCGCCTTGAGTGGTGCAGACAACGGTCACTCTGGGATCAGGAATGGAACAGTATTGTCTTTAGTGACGAGTCTCGATTTTGTTTAGGCATGCACGATGGTCGTGTCAGGGTTAGAAGGCGACGTGGTGAAAGGAGGAATCCACAGTTTTTTGTTGAAAGACATGTTCATCACACTGTTGGAGTTATGGTTTGGGGTGCTATAGCTTATGGTTCCAGGTCACCTTTAATCTTCATCAGCGCAGCGTTATATCCACGAAGTTCCAGAACCCCATCTTTTACCCTATCTTGACGCCCTGGCAGATCCAACTTTCCAACAAGATAATGCCCGACCACATGTTGCAAGAGTCACAATAGACTTCTTTCAACATAATGATGTCACATTGTTACCATGGCCACCAAGATCTCCCGACTTATCCCCAATTGAACACGTGTGGGATATGATGGGTAGGAGATTGCTCAATTTGCAACGTCCTCCTCAGACTCTAGAAGCACTTCGAGAGGAGTTGGTGGCTGCCTGAAATGAGATACCACAGGAGGACATTGACCACCTGATCAGAAGCATGCCTAGGCGCGTTGGAGAATGCGTAGCACATCAGGGTGCATCCACACATTATTAAAGGTCAAAGGGCTTTAAAGCAGTGCAATCATTTTGAAATTTTTATCATTTACTTATTATGCTTCATTAAGTACTTTATTAAAATAAAACCATTTAAACTGGGTATTCGGATTTATATGTCACTTAGTATATGTCTAATGGGTTCATAGAATCAGACGGACTGGAAGTGTATCAAAAAATTTCGATACATCTCTTCAAGCCCCCACTCTCCAATTTTTTACCGCTAAATTTTTTGAAAATGATCGGATATAGAAAATAATGTCTTTCCTGCCTTATTAAAACTTGCACTGCCACTCTTCAAGAAAGGATGTGGGAATGATCCATGTAATTTCAGACCCATTTCTATAATACCAATTAAATCCAAAATTTTCGAAATACTTCTGAAGTATCAGATATGTGAATACTTGCCTGATGTGATTTTCCACACTTGACTGTCTCAAGTGCTATTTCCTTGTGAACCTGATTCCACCAACAAATTTGTTTTCGAGTAAAAATTAAGTATTTTATGATTTTTTTAAAAGCGTCCATCCTCTCTGCCGCACCCTGCATTTTCCAGGTAGAACGAATTATACCAATAGACAATTTCCCGTATATTAGTCTCAGAAATAACTTTGTCCTGCCCGTGCGTCACAACTATTTATCCTAAAGAATGCTGAACATAGCAGGACATTTTCTCTAGTTTTCCACCTTTTCCAATAAAATGCGCGGGCGGAAATATACAAGGTAGCAAAGAGAAAAAGCACATCCAAATCTATAAAAGATCATCATTCATAACTGTCCAGGAAACCTTCTTTTGAGCAGCAAATGATTGGACTACTACGCCAATGTCAAAAATTATTTCGTTACACCTGATCTCAGATGGAAAGTCATGCAATATGCAACATCACATGTGTTACCGTTCTTTGACATTACGCGTATGGTAAAAACAAGTCGGCTCGCTATTTTTAGAAATGATATCGCAGATTCAACTTTCGTACGTTTTGTTATACTTGTACAATGACGCCACATGGAGGTGGAAAAAAGTTCAATTGTTTGATACTACTCGACATGTTCACTGCGAATGCATACAGGGTGTCCCACGTAAAACTGCAGCTACTGATTACTCGAAAAGTTGAAGTGTGTTATAAACGGTTAAAATGTTGAAAAGATCGGATGGATCGATGGGTCACCTGGTCTAGTCGACGTACCCGAAATGGTACCACGACCCTCTTTTTACCTGCTTTTCCTTTGAAAATATACTAAGTGACATATAAATCCGAACACCCAGTTTAAATGGTTTTATTTTAATAAAATTTTGTATAAGTACTTAATGAAGCATAATAAGTAAATGATAAACATTTCAAAATGATTGCACTGCTTTAAAGCCCTTTGACCTTTAATAATGTGTGGATGCACCCTGATATGCAACGCATTCTCCAACGCGCCTAGGCATGCTTCTGATCAGGTGGTCATTGTCCTCCTGTGGTATCTCATTCCAGGCAACCACCAACTCCTCTCGAAGTGCTTCTAGAGTCTGAGGAGGACGTTGCAAATTGAGCAATCTCCTACCCATCATATCCCACACATGCTCAATTGGGGATAAGTCGGGAGATCTTGGTGGCCATGGTAACAATGTGACATCATTATGTTGAAAGAAGGCTATTGTGACTCTTGCAACATGTGGTCGGGCATTATCTTGTTGGAAAGTTGGATCTGCCAGGGTGTCAAGATGGGGTAAAAGATGGGGTTCTAGAACTTCGTGGATATAACGGTGCGCGTTCATGTTACCTCTGATGAAGATTAAAGGTGACCTGGAACCATAAGCTATAGCACCCCAAACCATAACTCCAACAGTGTGATGAACATGTCTTTCAACAAAAATCTGTGGATTCCTCCTTTCACCACGACGCCTTCTAACCCTGGCACGACCATCGTGCATGCCTAAACAAAATCGAGACTCGTCGCTAAAGACAATACTGGTCCATTCCTGATCCCAGAGTGACCGTTGTATGCACCACTCAAGGCGATTACGTCAGTGTTCTCGAGTTAAAGGGAGGACCCAGTGTGCCCGGTATGAAATCAAGCCAAAACTTCTCATTCGTCGGTAAACACTTCGCATGCCAATAGGTCTTCCGTGTTCTGCAAACCATTCATTTGCAATGGACCTGGTAGTGGAGAAACGGTCCCTTAAGGCCAATAATCTTAGGCGGCGATCTTCACGGTCTGTTGTTCTACGGCGGCGTCCAGTGCCCCTTGCTCTTTGCGTACAGCCTTCACGGAGCCATGCCTGACAACACCTAACCACAGTGTCTACACTTCTTTGCTCTCTAACTGCAATTGCCCGAAAAGAAAGTCCAGCTTCCCGAAGTCCCACTATACGGCCCCTATCAAACTCACTAAGTTGACGAACTCGTACAGGTCTCCGTACTCTAGGCATCGTAACCGATCGTAAAGGATGTCAAGAACCAAAATCCGCCAACGTTGATTCTTTACTGCGGCTGAAATATTCATTTTTAGAGCGTTAGTGAATTAAAAAAAGCAGTATAAAAACCGGAATGTCCAACTGATAAGGCTGAAAATTTTTTCAGTTGTTATTTACAGTAAGATAAATACATTCACCAACTTTTATTAAAATAAAACCATTTAAACTGGGTGTTCGGATTTATATGTCACTTAGTATAAAACACGTACCAGGTGTAAACAATCTGAAACGAATTATCGCTCTTGACGGGATCGATAACACGTTAAACAATTAATTATGCAAACTTGGGCTTATAGCTGGTGTGACGGATTCGTCTAAAATATTTTCAAAATGGTGGCGGTCCCGGTTGTACTGGGAGTAGATCCCAACTTGTTTTAGAGATATACCAAATTTTGTGCAGGTCCATAAAAAATGTGTATTAATTTTTCGTATATTTTTGTCTTTGTCGAATGAGTTGAAACTGTTTCCTTATAGAACGTCTGCTTTGGTAGACCTCATTCGATATTTTGATAATTAATAATACGGGATAGTAAAAAAATCCGATGAAAATTGAATTGTAAAAAATCCCAAAATTCATTTTTTTCACATGGAAATTACCTCGTTATGTTAAGCAAAAGATAAGGCTAGTCTTGTATGAGTTTATCTACTTTGCAAATTAGCAGCTTAGAAAATATTTGCAAAATCTTGTTTTCTATCAATACCTATGGCTTTTCTATGGTCAGTTCAGCTTGGTTGGCTATGAAGAGGTGAATGTTTTCTTGACGTCATTATTTTTGTTTTTTTTGTGGCAGTAA